CATAATCTACCTTTAGATACATATTGAATCTAATAAATTACTTACAGAATCTAACTTTAAATATATAATGGATCCAATAAATTACTGACATAATCTACCTTTAGATACATATTGAATCTAATAAATTACTTACAGAATCTAACTTTAAATATATAATGGATCCAATAAATTACTGACAGAATCTAACTTTAAATATATAATGGATCCAATAAATTACTTACAGAATCTAACTTTAAGTATATAATGGATCCAATAAATTACTGACATAATCTACCTTTAGATACATACTGAATCTAATAAATTACTTACAGAATCTAACTTTAAATATATAATGGATCCAATAAATTACTGACAGAATCTAACTTTAGATACATACTGAATCCAATAAATTACTTACAGAATCTAACTTTAAATATATAATGGATCCAATAAATTACTGACAGAATCTAACTTTAAATATATAGTGGATTCAACAAATTACTGACAGAATCTAATAAATTACTTACAGAATCTAACTTTCAATACATAGTGGATTCAACAAATGTTTACAAAATGATACTGAAAAAATAATATAAGTTGTTGAATTTTGTGTATCTGCTAAAACAAACTTTAATCATAAATGATTAAATAGGAAACCATTAACAACTGCTCGAAACTAAAAATTTCAAAACAATGTTTGAGCATTCAAGTTTAAGAATCCTACACTTAAACTAAAAACCATTAAGACTTTACTAGTATTCACCACACATTTGTGAACACAGTTCACTAATTTTCTGTTTTTGGTCATTTACAGCCATTTGTACAGAACTCTTCACACACTTTATATCATCAGACTATGAACCAGCTAACACTCAATACACAAGTTTGTTTCTGATTTACGATCATTAAGAGTTAAAAGAAGATTTAATGAATCACTCTCTTCAGCCAGAACTGAACATCAACCAGGCTGTTTGGAAGATATTACTAGTTTGCAACAAATAAGTCATACAACTTTAGAACAACAACAATAATGTTACTGATTAGAGGATCCAAAAGTTCTCTATGTAGTATCAGCATTTAAATCTAGGAAAAAACATGAGACTCTTGTCAAAAGAGCACATAAATCTAGAAAAAAACATACGAGACTCCTGGTTTGTTTTGAATTTCGTGCAAAGCTACACGAGGGCTATCTGTGCTAGCCGTCCCTAATTTATAAGTGTAAAATTAGAGGGAAGGCAGCTAGTCATCACCACCCACCGCCAACTCTTGGGCTACTCTTTTGTCAACGAATAGTGGGATTGACCGTCACATTATAACGCCCCCACAGTTGAAAGGGCGAGAATGTTTGGTGGGATGGGGATTCGAACTCGCGACCCTCAGATTGCGAGTCGAGCGGCCTAACCACCTGGCCATGCTGGGGCATGAGACACCTGTCAACAGAGCTCTTAAATCTAGGAAAAAACATACCAGACTCCCCTCAACAGAGCACTTATATCCAGGAAAAACATATCAGACTCCTGTCAACAGAGCACTTAAATCTAGGAAAAAAGCATACCAGACTCCTGTCAACAGGTTTTTGAGGGGAAGGGGGATTTTTAATTTTGAAAGATTTTAAACTTTACTGAGTCTAATTGGGATGACACTAGAGGAAAGTACTGTTGTTGACTACTTCAGATGAATATCAATCTGCAGTGTTATCAAGGCACTCTTAAAATTAATTATAGTACTTCCACCATTACATATAAAATAAATATCCAAAACAGACTCAAGATCTCAAATATGGAAGGTCAAAAAGAATAAATCTGAGGAAACTTGTGCATAGTGTAAGCAGAAAGTCTGTTGCATACCGTCATGATGCAAATCTTGCTTCCGGCTCTCAAACATACATAATTTTGCATGATTATTTTTCTAAATCTTATTACTGCATGAGAACATTTAAGGTTGACAATAAGCCCGCTGCATCATGTGCTCTCATTGATATTCTGCTAAGTTGAGTGAGAAATTTGCTCAAAATCAGACCAGGCTTGGACCTTCCACCCACATTTTTACATTATATGCATGACTCTCAGACTCATATTTTGTGTGTGAAACGTGTGAATTTCTATGAATTTTCACATTCCTGTCATGCACGGAGAGTTCTGTCAAAAATTTGATGTTATAGAATTAAATTTATGGACATTTTAATTTATGCTTTTTCACAATTTTAACAAATGAGTTAATACAACATTTTCCAAAGTGTGGGGCACAAGGGATCTCTTGGAGGGGCATAAATGATTAGTGTAAGGGGAATTGTGCAATAATGCAAAATTAAGAGTTTTAATAATTTTTTATTAATGAAAATAATAGGCAATTACTACAACACATATAATATTTTAATGTGTATCCATCTATTATATCTCATCACTTAACTCACTCTTTCACTCATTTAAAAAAAAAGAGGGTATGTGCACAAGAAACCATATTTATTAAAGGTGACAGAAGTTTTGGAAATGCTCGATTAATAAATCTTGCAGTTTATAATTAGAAAAAGTATGATTCTAACAGTTATTTTTGGATTATAAAAAAAAAATTAATCTTTTACCTTGAAAACAGATGACCCTTCACTTTTTCCTTCTCGTGCTTTAGCAATTAATATATCTGTAATCTTAAAAAACAAAAACAAATTCAACAAACAGACACAGAATTTTACACAGCATTGGGATTTTTAAATGTTTGGATTAAGTTAATACCCTATTACACCATAATGGTTTTTAAGAGTATTTAAATGATATAAATAATAAACGTGGGATCATTATTCTAAATATCGACTAATATGTAAATAGATTTGCTTTCATTATTTATATTTACATATCATTTGTCCATGCAAGTAAAACAATAAATGTCCCTTCTTTCTACCGCAAGTATATGTAATTAACATCTTAAGCTCGAATAAGTCACCTCTTTGAGAAACGATTCCAACGCAGCATAGCCTATTGCTCTGCTTTCTTTGTTCGACTGATGACACCAGTGTACAAAGTTCTTATACATATTCTCATAATCATCAAAAAGGAACTGGTTGAACTGAGGTGCGTGTCTTGCAAACAACATCAACCCAGCTAAGAAAGTAATAAGACAAAATCGAATTCCACTGGTAACAGTTTTTAATAATTACTTACTATATGTTTACATCACAAATGGGTAACAACTGCAGGTCACCATAAAAAACAGAAAAAAGAAACTAGAATCAAAATACCACAAAAATAAATACAAATTTGCATTTATATCAAAATGTTATTTGAAACACACACACTACACAAATAATAGTTTATGCAAAAGTGAATTTTAACCTGCTTTAAGCATCAAACAGAAATACCTGCTAAAAAACTTTTCACTCTTCCTATTCAAGTGAATTAATCAGATAACATTAGTATTAATCTTTGGTTATCGGTTAAAGCTAAATTTGTGTGTATGTATATGTACAGTTATATAAAAATATATATCAAAAACACTGAAAATGTCTTCAACTGCTCTTTACAATCATAAAAATTTGAAACCAATAGTAATGTAATGCAGTGCAAAAACAAAGAACTTTGTACAAAGCCAAGAAAGGATGTGGTTAAAAAAATATCAAATCTAAAAACAGGAGACCCTTGTTAATAAAACAAATATATAAAATTAAGCTGCAAAATAAATTAATCTAGAATAAATCCATCACAAAACACACATGAAATGAAAAAAGGTCTTGAAAGTTTCAGCTTTTGCCCTTCTGAGAAAAGTCCTTCACAAGCACCATATTTGCATCAACTGTCACATATTTATCATAAAAAAAAAGGATTTTAGCGACCCAAAGTTTCACTATTTTTGCTTTGGTTTTACTGATGAAAATATAATTTTGAATTTAACATTTGTATTTAACACAAATATTACAACAAAAAAGTTGTAAAAATATTATTATTGTGATGATACTGGTACTTCATAAGATAAAAATCAATCCAGTTTCATTAGTGGAAAACAAGAAATTTTCCAAAGTACAAAACAGTATCTTACCTCGTGGCATCTCAAACCTGCTGTGTTCCACTGAACTTAGTATTGAACTTCGAGCATAACAGAATATTTTATAAGATTTCTGAGGATCTGTAAAAAAATATGTTGACAAAATAAAATCCAAGGGAAGATACACTTCCCAGAAATATTATAAAAATTCAATTTAGAAACTACATACTGCTTACATTTTTCCAGATAGTAGTTGTGTATGGTGTTTGGAAGTGTGTATCCGGAAGTAGGACTAGCGTCCTAGTCCGGACACCGGGTGAGCTTGTTTTGGTGTGACGGGGATTCGAACCCATGACCCGCAGATTGCGAGTCAAGCGCTCTAACCACCTGGCCATGCCGGGCCACATTTTTCAAGATATACTTAAGAAACAAATTCAAATGTTCTTTTTCAGTATAGCACGATTCAAAACGTAAATCTTAAAGATAATTCTCACAAAATTTTTCATAAATGATTCACTAATAGATCTTAAGGGTTAGATCCAGAAAGAGTTTACTCATCATCTTATTTATATTAATGGATACATTGACCTTTCCAAAAAGGAATTTTTTTGTTTTTAAGTTTTCTTTGACAAAACTAAGCAGTGTGCTGTTGCTAGTGGTAGGGCAAATTGGATTTTAGGTTGTATCTACAGAAATATTGAATACAAGTCTAT